AAAACTGAAATTAGGGTTTGGGGGTCAAATTTTTCTTTTTTTTTTTTTTTTTTTTTTTTACCTGTTTTTGTTTCTTTGGCGGGGAGTAGGATGTTGATGTAATAACACGCGGCGACAAGGGGCAAGTCGGCGAAAGCTCATCCGCCGAGAGGCATCTCGATGTCCACGTGTCAGCCCATCTCGATAGGGTGTGGGTGTGGGTGTCCAGCACAGGAGGACGGGATTGGAGTATGTTGTTTACCTGGCAGCGCATCCTGATAGGCATCCCGATGTCCACGTGTCAGCCCATCTCGATACGGATACCGTTGTCCACGTGGCAACGCAATTGGATTTCCACGTTGTCAAATCAACCGCCTGCTCACGTATGAACGCAAACTAGGTGGAATTTTCCATTTTACGGGCCTGTCAAAAAAAAAACAAAAAACAACCTGAAGCTGTCGACTTAGGTAGATGGAGTGAATGACGTTATTTCGCTCTCTGACTAATATTAAAAAAAAAGGGAAAACGGAAGAGGCACTGTTGGGGTCCCGATTACTAGTCGAGGCAGGGAGTAGGATTAGTAAGCGAGTCGAGAACGAGCGATGATGAGAGTTCGATCCCAATCAGGAAGAGGGACTGTTGGGGTCCCGACTACTACCGGTAGTCGAGGCAGGGAGTTTTCGCAAATTTTCATTTTCGAGTATTAATGGGATTACTGCTTGGCGCTCTCGTCGTGGGGCGAGCTAACTAATACCCCCGCTCCTTCTCCTCCTCCCTTCCTCTTCCCTTCCTCCTCTTCTTCCCTCCTCCTCCCTCCTTCCTCCTCCCTCGTGGACCTTGTCGCCTCCGTCTTCCTCCGGCGCCCTCCGACGGAAACGAAAGCGAAAGCGGAAAAGGAAAAACGGAACTCACAAAAAAAGAGGAAACCCGTTGCAAAGCCTGATCTTGGACGTGTGCGCGCGCGCGCGCGTTCAATCGGTGGTAATCGAACGCTGGAGAGTCTTACGTGTCAAAGCTGGAGGAGTACACGTGTCAAATGCTGGCGGAGTAGACGTGTCAAATGCTGGAGGAGTAGACGTGTCGAACGTTGGAGGAGTACACGTGTCAAATGCTGGAGGAGTAGACGTGTCAAATGCTGGAGTACACGTGTCAAATGCTGGAGGAGTACACGTGTCAAACGCTGGTGTCAGAGAGCGAAAAGCTGACGTGGAAGACTTCGTATATGCTGTAGGACTGAGCGGATTGGATTTGGCGCGCAGCAACCGAGCGGCAGGTACTTGCGTGTGTGTGGGGGGGGGAGGGAGGAGAGGGGGACAGGAGAGGAGGAGGAGGAGGAGGAGGAGGTGGTAGGGGGGCGTGGGGAAGATCGTTGTGACGGGAGATATGGACGGGAGGGAGGAGTCGCCGGTTGGGGTCGGGATGGGAACGGCGGCTGGTGGCGATGAGGATGCCTATGTGGCGGTCGACGTGGCAGAAATATCCAGTCTGGATGACGTGGCAGTCGGTCATGGACCAGCGAGAAACGACGTAAGTTTTGGAACATCCCAAGGATGTAAGTTTTTTTTTCTTTTTTCTTTTTCTTTTTCTTTTTCCGAGTGATGGAGCAATTGAGTGCGGTGCAGCTTGAAATTGATTTGATTGATGGATTGGTTGACATGACTGTCATTTTTCTGATTGGATTCGATTACCAAAAAATCGGAGATTGATTGTCGGTTTTTGTGTCCACCGTTCTTGTGTTAATTGGATCTGCCAAGAGCTTACCATCATGCTCGGTTCACTCCCCCTCCTCCCCACACACATGAAAAAAAATGTTATAAAAGAAAGTCAAGAGAGAGAGAGAGAGAGAGAGAGAGAGATGCCTACGTGTGTTGTCGTGTTCGCTATACGCAACTCCACGAGATAAAGGCATGACTGTTTGTATGTACCTGTACTTGATGTCTCCATACATTAGAGAGAGCGGTCGGTCGGGGGGAATACAGAGAGAGAGAGAGAGAGAGAGAGAGAGAGAGAGAGAGAGAGAGAGAGAGAGAGAGAGAGAGAGAGAGAGAGATGGCTGTATGCCATTTTGTGATGGAATGCCGACCCGATCAGGAGGGAACTATTTCAAATTCAGAGTGTCGTGAAGATCACATACTGTATTAATCCAAAAAGAGTTTACCGAATTTTTTTAATTTTTTTTATTTTTTTTAATTTTTATGAGAAGGAAGTACGGCAATCGGGACATCCGTTAAATTTGGAACGAGAACGATACAGAGAAGATTAGCACGGGCCCTGCGCAAGGATGAGACGCATAAATCGAGAAATGGTCCACATTTGGGGAAAAAAAAAGAAAAAAAAGAAAAGTAACAAGGTAATGCGTAAGCGAATTGAGCGTAATGATGACGAAGATGCGACGAGCTCCTTTTTTTTTTTTTTTTTTTTTTTTCTGGCTCTGCAAAATAATTGAGCGAGGTCCTTTTTTTTGCCTGTTTTTTTTTTTTTGTTGCAACGAGGGCACTTATTTTCAGCCGTAGGTTGTGATGAATGGCTCTCGACTCGAGCCGTTGATCAGCGGGTGGAAGGTTCCATCTGTTTTTTTTTTGTTTTTTTTTTTTTTTCCATTTTCAGATCGTGTTAGGGCTACCTTTTTGTTTCTCTTTTTTTTCCCCCCTCCTTTTTTTTTTTTTTTTTTTTTTTTTTTTTTTCTTCTGGTTTCCCCTCTTTCTTCCCCTTTCTTTCGTTTTCTTTCCTGTTGTTATTCATTTTTCCCCATTTTTTTGAGGATAATTTTTTCTTCGCCGGGTTTTGTCTCCCAACTATCATCAGGGCCGAGGTCCCACTCGCAAAGCCGATTGAATTAAGCGTCTGAATCTGGATGTGTTTAATGCAGAGATGCAGAAAAGCAGATCGGTCTCGATGTTCTGCCCTTGTCAATGAAAACGTCCAGATTCAGGCGTTAAATCCAGCCCTTTTTCCTAGTGGGACCTCGCCCCAGGAGATGCCACAAGCTACCGTTAGCAAAACTACCGTTAGCGAAAGCTACCGTTGGGGAGTGTGACATGCCTTTTTTTTGTGACTCGCATTCTTAGTTCGCCGCCAAGGCCAGAGTGGCCCGGCCAAAAAAATATATGTATATATAATCTAGGCTACCAGAGTAGCCCGGGTCCACTTGCCGGGCCTGGCAAAAAGGAAATAAAAAAAAATAAAAATAAAAAAATATATATATATATATTTTTATTCAAATTTTTATTTTAAATTTGGTTAAGAATTTTGATATGACTCTGAGGCAAAAGTGGTTCAGTTTATTTTTCTGCATAACATAGTCTTTTTTTCGGTTTTTTTTTTTTTTTTTTCGGCTTGGACCTTCCCTGGTCCTTGCACGGCCGGGCTGCCCGCTGGTAGCCTAGATATTTATATATATATTCATGTGATCAGGGTAACCGGCATTCGGGACGGGCCGAACGCCCGAGCCCGAGCCCGAGCCCGAGCCCGAGCCCGAGCCCGGCCGTTCGGGCCGAACGCAGACCCAAAAAAAAAAAAAAAAAAAAATCAAAAAAATTAAAAAAATCTTAAAAAAAGATATGTTTTGAAGAAAAATAAACTAAACAAGATTTGCCTGAGCATTACATCCAAATTCCTTGCAAGATTTGAAATAAAAATAAATTACGAAAAACAAATACTAATAATAAAAATAACAAAAAATAAAAAAGAATTAAATTTAGTGAGTTCGCGAGCATGTTTTCGACACCGCCATCTTTGGCGATTTTTCATTTTTTTTTTTGAATAGCTAAATGCCCTGAAAATTTAGATATGTGTACTTCACATAATGCAAAACACACTAAAAAAGTTTCAAAAAATAATAAAATTGTTTAGACCCCGAACTAAAGTGAAAACAAAAAGTAAAAAGTGAGAAAAAACGTGGGCAAGCACGTTTTGACACCGCCATCTTTGGCGATTTTTAATCCTTATTTGGCTGAGCCAAATGACTTGAAAATTAATAGGCGTCATAGAGAACTCACAAAAAAAAAATCAGAAAAAAACAATTATTTTTAGGCCCCGAAATAATTTTTGGCGGGGCCCGAACGCCGTCGGGGTCGGGTTCACGTACGGGGGGTACGGGGTCCGAACACGACCCCGTACGGGACCCCAAACGCCCGTACGTACGGAGGTCTACCTACGGGCTGGTAACCCTGCATGTGATGATATATATATATGATTCTTTTATTCTTAATTTGGTAAAGAATTTCGATGTGACATAGTTTTTTTTTCCTTTTCTTTTTGCTGGAACAAATTCTCTTGCCCTTGCCCGGCCGCCCGCCCGGGCAACGAAGCTGACCCCGGGTGGACCGGTCGGTAGCCCAGACGTAAGCAGTTTTTTGGGGTTTTGTTTTTGAAGATGTAAGCCGAAGACGAGTCTATAGGGACTCTCTTTTTTTTTTTAATTCATTTTTAATATTTAAAAAATACCCAGAAGGTCGGTCTAATTTATACTAGGCACTTCTCGCTCGACAGCAGACAAACGTGGGGAATACTACAAAAAAAAAAAAAAAAAAAAAAGGGAGGGTAAAAAAAAAAAAAAAAAAAAAAAAAAAAAAAAAAAAAAAAAAAAAAAAAAAAAAAAGGGTGGGGAATACGTTGCGCTGTACACAGCAGAAAGTGAAAAAGGAAATGGACGAGACAGATAAACTGAGATGATACAAAAAGAAAAAGGAAAAGAAAAAAAAAGGTTGGATGGAAAAGACGGAAAAAAGAAATCAAGAATAGGGAAAAAAAAATACAAGGGGAAAAAAAAGAAAATAAAGGGGAAAAATAAAGTTCGAAAGGGAAAAGAAAAGGAGGTTCCAACCTTTGCACCCTTTTTTTGGGGGGGGGGTCCAAATTGCATTTGTAATTTTGTACCCCATTGAAACATGGGAATAGTACCCTTTATATACCCAGTCCCAGCGTCCAACTTGCATCTATACCCCGGAAATGGCTTGTGCAAATTATTTGCATACCCGGACCCAAGGTGGGCCAAGGTTGATACCCCACCAAATTGCAGTTATACCCCGCTATCCGAATGCTCAAGTTATGTACATGCCCCGGCTAATTTTGTGCATACCCAATTTTATTTTTTCCTGCCAGGTTTCTGGAGGCATGACCATAATTTTGTGCTTCCCAACCAAGGGCCTGTGGAAGTGGGTACACATATAATTTGGCGCAGGGGAGTAGGGTATTTTACCTTAAATTATTTTAAAAAAAGAGTAGAATTACCTTAAGTTGGACAGGGTTGGGGTATAAATGCAAGTTGGCCGCTGGGACTAGATATTAGGAGGTAATTCCCATCTTTAAATGGGGTACAGATGCAATTTTTGTTTTTTTTTTGGATTTGTAAGCAGCTTCAACCTGTATTCGTGGGGAGGAGCATGTGCTGGGTATAGCGGGAATTCCTATAGGTAAATGGGTTACTGACTAGGCTACCAGCCGGGCCGCCCGGGTCCCGGGTGGCCAGCCCGTGTAAGGACAAGGGAAGGTCCGAGCCACAAAAAAAAAACAAAAAAAAAACGGGAAAAGAACTATGTTATGCAGAAAAATAAACTGAACAACTTTTGCCTCAGGGTCACATCGAAATTCCTTGCCAAAAAAAAAAAAAAAAAAAAAAAATTAAATTAGTTTATTTAATTTTTATTTTTTTGGCCCGGCCGGGCAAGTGACCCCGGGCCACTCTGGTAGCCTAGGTTACTGATGAAAAATTCCTTTTTTTAATTTATATTTTTTATTTCCCCACATGAAGCTTCCCTTTCGGGCTTTAAAAAAAAAAAAAAACCTTTTTTATTTATATTTTTATTCGCACCCTGTCTATCTACTCCGCGTCTGCCTCTTCCTTTCCTAATTCGTATGCGGTCTTAGGGTAAACAAAAAAAAAAAAAAAAAAAGAGGACTTTTTCGACTGAGTCGGGCTGTAATCCTGCTCAGATGCGTGTACCGGAAAGTCCACACGCCAGGTCCTTATTGGATTGCATCTGGCCGTAATTCTGGTCAGATGCTTCCCGGAAAGTCCAAGTTTGAGTACGTCCATGGTCAGTAGTTTTTTTTTTTTTTTTTGTGTGTGCGGTAATTTATACGGGGCAGGCCCGACTAATATTATGTTCGTGCTTGGAGTGCATGAACCTGGCCGTAATAGTGGCAAGGTTCATGCTTTCCTTGCATGCACCTAGTGTCAGCCGGGTCTGTCTCTTATGGGGCAAGGCAGGCTGCACTGGTGCTACGGTTTTCTGCTTGGAGAACATGAACCTAGCGAGAATAGTGGCCAGGTTCGTCCATTCCCAGCATGGACACAGTATCAGTGAGGTCTGCCTCTCTAGGAAACATGAACCTAGCTAGGATACTGGCAAGGTTTGCGCGCTTCCAACATAGACATAGTACCAGTGAGGCCTGCCTCTGTTTAGTTATCTCGCCCATTCATAACTGCTTTTGGTCCACGTAATCTTTCTTTTTTTTTTTTTGCTTGCAAATGTAGCCCCCAACATACCACGAAGAGGCTGATCCCACTATGAACTTTTACCAAA